AAGAGCTCCCTTCATCCCAGTCAATCGATTTCCTTCCTAGGAATAGATTTGGACTCGGTCACGATGACGGCTCGCCTGTCTACACAGCGCGCGCGCAGTGTTCAGCGCCTAGCCGCCTCGTTCCAGATGGGCACCCGCAGGCCTCTGAAAACTTTTCAGAGGATGCTGGGTTACATGGCCTCAGCCTCCGCTGTACTTCAGCTGGGCCTTCTGCACATGCGTCCGCTTCAGTTCTGGTTGAACAGCCGTGTACCCCAACGCGCGTGGAACACGGGTCGCCAGCTGATCAGGGTTACGCAAACGTGTCTCACGGCGCTGCAGCCATGGACAGTAGCAGAATGGTTTCGTCTAGGCGTCACGATGGGGACCTTTTCCTGCCGAAAAGTCATCTCGACAGATGCATCCAACACGGGTTGGGGTGCAGTCTGCGAGGGCTCACCGGCCTTCGGCCACTGGTCGATTCAGGAAAGCCCATTACATATAAACTGTCTGGAAATGCTGGCGGTCGAGAACGCGCTCTCGCACTTTCTCCCGCGCATCCAGGGACACCACGTCCTGATCCGTTCGGACAATATGGCCGTGGTCTCCTATCTCAACCGTCAGGGCGGTGTCAGATCCAGAAATCTCTGTCGACTGACGCACCGCATTCTAGTTTGGTCTCAGAGCCGCCTGCTCTCGCTCAGAGCGACGCACGTGCCGGGCCATCTGAACGACGGTCCAGACATACTGTCCAGGAACCTCATCTCCACAGGAGAATGGTCCCTGAACTCACAGACGGTCCAGTTACTGTGGCGACTATTCGGCAGAGCAGAAGTAGACCTCTTCGCGTCAGAAGAGAACGCTCACTGCCCAATATATTTCTCGAAGAGCGAGGACGCGCTAGCCCAGGAATGGCTTCGCCGCCCGCTCTATGCATTCCCTCCGATCGCTCTGTTACCACAGGTAATTCAGAGGATCAGGGACACACGCCACTCGGTGCTCCTCATAGCCCCGCGTTGGGAGAGTCAGAATTGGGTTCCGGAGCTCACGCAGCTGTCACAGACAGCCCCGTGGCCCATCCCAGTCAGAGCAGATCTCCTCTCTCAAGCTCGCGGCACGATCTGGCACCCCCATCCACAGCGCTGGGCGCTGCATGCATGGGTGATCAACGACTATTCGTTGATTTGCCAGAGGGAGTAAGAAACACTGTCATACAGGCTAGAGCACCTTCCACGAGAAGGCTCTATGCGTCTAAATGGTCTGTGTTCTCAAAATGGTGCACCGACAAACAGCTGGACCCACGGTCGTGCGAGGTGCCGTCTTTGCTTGTTTTCCTTCAAGAGATGCTGGACAAGGGCAGGTCCCCCTCCACTCTCAAGGTTTATGTGGCAGCCGTCGCGGCGTTCGCGGAACCCCGACGCGCTCAGTCATTGGGCAAAGACGAGTTAGTCATCCGCTTCCTCAGGGGAGCTAAGAGGATGAACCCTCCGCGGCCCCCGTCGGTTCCGGTTTGGGATCTTTCTATAGTCCTTGAAGCTATGAAAGCACCCCCGTTCGAACCGCTCGAGTCTGTGGATCTGAAATACCTCTCGCTCAAAACCGTTTTCCTGACGGCTCTGTCCTCAGTTAAACGCGTTGGGGATCTTCACGCGCTCTCATCCAGCGCCGCGTGTCTTGAGTTTGGACCGAATGATTCGATTGTCATTCTCAAACCTAGGCATGGCTATGTCCCGAAGGCGATTGGTACCCCGTTCAGGGCTCAGATTATCTCCCTATCGGCTCTGCCTTCATCCGATAGTGAGCGCGATGCCAATCTCCTTTGTCCGGTGCGGGCTCTGAGATTGTACACTACGCGCGCTGCCGCGTTCAGACGCGCTGAGCAGCTTTTCGTGTCGTTTGGGGGGCGCACCAAGGGTCTGGCCGCCTCAAAACAGACACTGTCTAGATGGATAGTGGACGCTATCGCCTCTGCTTACGCATCTAAATGCCTGCCCTGCCCTCTGGGCATCAGGGCGCACTCCACTAGAGGCATGGCCTCATCGTGGGCATGGTCCTGTGGAATTTCCATTCATGACATTTGTGTGGCCGCGGGATGGGCCTCCCCGTCCACTTTTGTCAGGTTTTATAACTTGGAAGTTCCCGCCTTGCAGGCAAAATTACTAGCTGTCTGACGAACAGCTCTCTAAGAAGCTGCATTTCTGGAGGTCCCTCACAACCGGTTCGCCCCTTGTGCTCTCCTGTAATGCTTATACACTTCATGTGCCCGCTCTGCTGGCCCCATACATGCTTATGTGTACACTTCATGAGCCCGCTCTGCGGCCTCTTTGTACATTCACTCCACGTTAGGAAATTCCCCCGGTATATCCCTGGGTTTTTCATGAGTGGATTCGTAGCGCGCACGGCGTTGGCCAGGTGTTCCCGCAGCGTAAGCTAGCTTACGCAATACGAGAGAACCTCTCGTAAGAGAACGAATCGGTTACCTAACGTAACCTCGGTTCTCTCTAGAAGAGGGAACGAGTATTGCGTTCCCGGCCGTGCTTGCGCTACTAGCGTTTCGCTTCACGCTGAAATAAATCAACATATAAGCCTGGGAGAGCGCCTTATATACACCATGGCCACGCCCATTCTGGCGGGTCATGACGCAATGAGCGCGCGGGCGCCTCTCATTGGAAGCGGGTTCAGCCCCGCTCTCCCATAGGCTTAAGCAGTTCTCTCTGATACCCCTTTTCCACCAAAAACGAACTGGTTCGGAACTGGTGCTGGTTCAAAGTTGGTTCGGAGTTGGTTCAACTTGCGAACCTTCTCAGAACCTGTTTGTTTTTCCACTGACTAGAGCGCCCAGCGAACGACGTCGTTACGTCACTGTGTACGTCGCCATACATCTTAGCTAGAAACGCTTGCAAGTACAACATTACTTTGGGATTATCTCTAACTCGTGAACCAAGAAGGCTTTAAAAACAATTGAAATATGTAAGTCTTTTAATCTTTTCCTTTGATATGTAATCTTTTCTGATTAGTTATGTACTCCTGTCTTGTGTCTTTTTTTTCTTTCCATTTATTTGTTCTATATTGTGACTGTTTTCTCCTTTGCTTACATAACGTTTTCAATAAAAAAATAAACTAGAAACGCTTGCGCCAACTTCAAGCATAACAATTACAATGGCGGACTACATCGTGTTTCTGCAAATGTTTCTCCTGGCTTTGCGATCCTATATTATGTCAGAAAATATGTTATCTAAACCCGCCCCCAGCCCCCGACGTAAGCATGACGTGGTAAAAGAACGGTTCTAGTCCAGCAAAGAGTTGGTGCCGCTTTGGAACCAGTTTTCCTGGCCGAGAACCGGTTCTTTGCCTGTCGAAACACAAAGAACTGGTTCGCGCGCAGGCACCGGCTCCGAACCGGCTCTCAAAATGCGTTGGTGGAAAAGGGGTATGAGCGAACCAATGAGCTGCTAGCTAGCCCGCTCTAGGTCTGCCGCAGAGGAACTGCGTTGTGTATGGATACAAAATTATGAAATAATTTTTTGGCTTCAATATCTCAGCAAAGATGAATCTTTCCCGCAGCGTAAGCTAGCTTACGCAATACTCGTTCCCTCTTCTAGAGAGAACCGAGGTTACGTTAGGTAACCGATTCGTTATCTGTTGTCATTGGCAACTGATCGCGTTGCTCACGCTGGCTTTTACCACTATGCAGCGCAGATTCAAACAGCTTGCTGTGATAGGAATTCACTTCTGCGGACTGCCTCCGGACCGTATACAGCTCATTCTTACGCATTGTGCAACAACTACGGCGGTGACACGTACTCGCTCCGGTTTAACCCTTTAAGCTATGGGGCGGTGGTTTCTGCTGCTTACGAACGATACCTCCGTCCCGATGTTCGGGATATTCTTGACGCCCAGAAGCCATGAGCTCAAGTCTCTGATTTGTTTCGTTAATAAAACACATTTGATCATTATTTTGCTCGCGCTCTGCTCAGTTAACGCCCCTGAATGCGCTATCAGCTGTTCATTTATTCATCTAGCTCGTTCTCAGAGGTGGATTAATCATCTATCCATAGAGCTTACACTGTAGACTGTCAAACAGTAAATACAGATAATCTAGGTAACAGCATGTTTTAGCTATTGCGGTCTTGATTAGTCATTTCAGTAATTAATCAATATTTTTACTATTATAAATCGCTAAATCAATATTTTTACTATTATAAATCGCTAAATTAGGGCGGCTCAGTCGACACCGTTCGAGACACTCAATTTTGTTTTGGGGGGAATAGCTCGTGTGGTCAAATAATCATCCTCTGTATCACAGAGGATTGCCAGGTGTGGTTTTGTTTGGGGGGATATTTTAGCTCTCACAGTCTAAAACTGTGTGAGCGTTCCCTAATGCTGCTGCTGCTGTCCTCTGACTCTCTGCTATTTCATGGTGCTCATGAAAGGTCAGAGGACTCCCTGAACAGAGCCATACCGCCAAATTTCAATTCAGGAACATCAACCTGTTTGCAATCTATTCAAATAATTCTTAATTATTTTGTCTGTGTGTTCTTGACTTAATGGACCTGACAGAAGTGTGTTTAGTGTTTTGCAAATCACTGTGTGTAATGTTTAGCAAAAAGTGTGAAGCTGACAATGTGCTTACAGTTGTGCAAATCTAGGCCGGTTTTTTGCTCCTTGAGTGTAAGGTTTTGCTAATTGTGGGAAAGTTATAATTTTAGTGTGTAAGCAATCGAAAAAAAACTGTAATGTAGAAATATAGCAAAATACTGTCTTATTCATTTGTGTATTATGTTTTCAACAGTTTTGAAAAGAGTATATAAACATGCAAATTAAAAGATGTAATCATCGAATGCATTGTGTCAAAGCAATGATAAATGATCCAAAGTGTAGCCCACATAGACTGCTGTTGTGCTCACTGCACACTGTGTGAAGAGTTTTGAAAAAGTGAGCTATTGAGAAATGGGTCCTGGCTATTGTAAAAACAAAACTCAAGCAATGGAGTTCTGCACTGGAAATGATTTGTTTTTTAGGATAAACTGCAGAAAGAAGAGAAGAAAACCTCTCGTAATGTGGCCAAGCTGCGGCAGCAGTGGCGTGCTATTTCAACGCAGGCCGAGACAGCAGAGCTACGCGATGACATCTCAGTCCTCAGCCAGAGCTTTGAGAAAGTCCTCGACTGCAACGACAAAATCATTAAGGTGACTGTATATAATATATAGACTTGACTCTCAGTTTTAAATTCTATAGCTTTCATTACAGAGTCTGGGAGTAACAAACGTGTGTGTGTGTGTGTGTGTGTTTTTTACAGAGTTTGGTGGATGATCTGTCTGAGAGGGCGCAGCAGTCAGAGCTGGCGCGCAGTTCTCATCTGCAGAACGTGGACTGTCTGTTAAAGCTTCATAAGAGTCGGCTGGCAGAACTAGCGTCCAACTTCAACACCAGTGTCGGAGAACTTAGCTCAGAGTATAATACTGAGAGGTAAACACACAAACAATCACACGAAAGGAAGGGTTTTGTTTTCAAGGGAGTGAATTTGGCCAGTTTGCCAGTTCCTGACTATTTAAATCGGGTCATTCCTTTTAGGATATACCTTTTAACTTCAGAAAATGACAATGCTTTGGTTGTAAAGAAACAAATTCATATAAAATGGTATACCAAACTTTCAGAAATAAATTCAGGTCAAGCTTGGGCAATTTTTAATTATATCTTTATTATTTATGCAATGACAAGAAGGTTAGGTAACACTTTTATTTTAATAGTCCGCTTTAAACATTCTATATACTATAAATGTAAGTATCTTTGCAACTATGTCAACTAGCAGTCATTAGAGTAGACTGTCTGCTTCACAGATATACATAAATGCCCCATTAGCGGCCATTTCAGTGGGCCACTATACGTAAGCCGTCCGCCATACTGGAACGGTCAAAACCAGTCTGTGAATGTTCACCATTCGAGAGCAAGTTGACTGCAACCATAGTTAGACGCAGTTAGAGTAACTTTGCAAGTACATGTTAACATATTGTACTAACCCTAATAGTCTATGAGAGAGAGTTATTTGAAATGTAGTGCAAATTAATTAGAGATAGTAGAATGTCTAAAGTGGACTATCATAATAAACTTTAACCACAAGGTTAACAACAGGATTGAACCCAGCTCTAAAAAAGAAGTAAACTCGAGGGTGTCAGCTTGAAGTTCATTTCAATGTTGTTGTTGAATTTGTATATTTTTCTGATTATCTATTGAAATATTGATATTATCATGAGGATTTATGAAATTTAATACAAGAAACTCCAACTAATACCAACACTGCTTAATTCACAAGAGCATTAATAACAATGTTTTCCCACCAAAAGTGATGTCATGAACAGGATTTCACACAAAAAATGGTATAATATTCTAAACAAAAAGATCTATATGGGGACATGAAAATGCACTGCGAAGGATTGAGCCGATGTAGCATCATCTGTATGTTATTTCTTTTCAATTCCAGGGAGCAGATTCTTTCACAGCACCAGCAGGAGAGTGTGGATTTGGAGAATGTAATGTTTCACATGGAAAAGCACTACGCTGATATAGACAATGAGGCGAGACGTGACTACGAGGTTAATGTCCATCAAATTAAACAGCAGGTACTGATTTGATTATGTTTCTATTTATTCATTTGGCAGATGCTGTTATCCAAAATGACTTACAAATGAGGAACATCACAATTTGTCATAGTGCCGTATTCATGGGTTTAGTAAAAACTAGAATTAGTCAACAAGTTAGAGCAAAGGTAAAATACCAAAAAGAAGAAAAAGAGAATATTTTTTAAAAATGTAATAGAGTAAATGTCTTGGTTTACAAAATCATAATTATTGCATTAACCTAAAATATGCAGTGCAATTCAAATATAAATAAATCACGGATTACAAAAATACAGATTACACAAATATACAAATGTATGTAGGAGTTTACATGTGTACACTATACTACTTATCAAAAGTTTGGAAGAATAAAGATTTTTTTCTTCAAATGTTTTTGATAGAAGTCTTTAATGATCACCAATGGAGCAGAGGTAAGGGAGCACACTGACCAAGGCGGCCAGACAGAGTTTAGAGTTTTGAAAATGTGACTACAGATTGGACAAAAGGATGTTAGCAGTTGGGGAAAAAACATCATATAATAATATGTTGTTGGTTTTATTTTTGCAGAGCAAAAAGGAAAAACAAAGAGTGAAAAAACAGATGAAAAGGGTTATGGATATGCAGCAGTTCATGGATGAAGTTTTGGTCCCTGGTGAGAGTTTTCAGCAACAAAAGCTTCCGGTGGCGGATATATTTGATTATTGATTTTTATAAAGGAAGTTAGCATTCAAAAGGATATATAATCCCTTACATATATCATTCCAGTTCACTTTTCTCCATCCATCTGAAATGCCAATCAAAATTACTTGTTGTATACTATTCATTGTTGGGGTTTCGGTTACATATCAGTTACTTTATCAATCAGTGTTTTTTTAAGAGTTTTCTATTTTTCACTATAATTGATTACCTCAATGCAGATTTTTTTTTATATAACCAACCTATTTTTTGTTTTCTTTTCTACATAGTGGCGCAAACTGGAGAAGTACCTGTGTGACAGAGGATGCTGTGCTTGGCGCTTATCTTTGTATTTAAACAGTTTGACATATAAATAAACATTGGGAAATTACTACAAAATGTGTCCATTCATTATGCTTTTTTTTAGCTTTTTTTTTATTCCTATATTTATATTTCCTACATTTGAATAGTAGCTGAACTTATCTTTGTTTAAGAAATACTGAATGCTTGAATAATTATCAGAGGATTAGTTTTTTGTAAGCAAATGAAACTTTTTGAATTATTTTAATACTTATTTGTCATACAGTATCCAACTGCAACATTTTTCTATTGCGTGTAATCTATTGTTGCATCGGGTTATGCAATGCAATCTGTCATTTTAGTTTTATATTTAATGGGGACAAATAAATGTTTAATTTGTCCATTCACCACAAGAACCTGGAAGATCCTGTCATAAATGACCATATATGGACAAGTAAGTGTGACGCATCTGCTCAACTGGGTTGTCATTGGCTTTGACATTTCCTTGGCACCTACAGGACTGGCTGTTGTTGGACAATCTTTAAACCCATATTACTAAACGTTTAATGTTGCAAAGTACGTTTTGCTGTTATAATTACGTCAGTAATACATAAAGTTAACAATGTGGTGTTGATTTGTTGTGAGAAATTACCCCTTTACCGAGATCCTAACCCTAACCCTAAGTATAAGTTAACTGAACTACAAACAAAGACTATTGCCAAATAGCTTATAATGATAGAGGCTCATGGGTAATGTAGTTTAAAACGTTTAATAAAGAAAATACTATCTTTACTGAACATAGGGATATCTAATCATGGTCATTGTGCAAACCTCTAATACATATTTGAGAGGCAGGCTAAAATTTGGTATTTTACTATAAGCACTTTTTAAAACTCCTTTATACCACCGTTTCATATATATATATATGATTTTTTTTAAAAGTGGTCAACATCATTATGTAAACATAGTATAAGAATAGTGTTGACAATGAACAAAGACATCAATTTAAACAACCAATACACTTGTGACACTTCATTGTACAACATTGTTTTACTGAATGGCATACTGTCCAAGTACACACAGTGTGTAATTTATGGCTCAAAAGTCTTAACAAAAAATGAATGCACTGCAAAGCATCATAATGTAAAAGTTCTGGACATCAGAAATTTGAATGCTCATCCTGCTTATAGTACAGGATCCATGTTGATCTTTCCCTGGTACATCATCCTCAGTGTGCCTGAAGTGCCCATTACCCATTACAATATAGCCCATGCAGTCTCTTGTGATGCATCTTTCAGCCTTTCACTTCATCTAACTGAAATTTGGCATATTTACTGTATTTGACACAGCATCTTAGTCCTAAAACATATACAATGGTAACATTCTAGCAAATGATTGTCCCAAATGTCATTAATATGACAAATCTTCATGTCTCAATTAAAACAATCATGGTTATTATGTCTTATTACAAAATCTAATTGTGTATTTACCAAACACAATCATTAATAAATAATATTCACCATATGTTGTTATCCAACACCATGTACAAAACTTTACTGGATAATACAGCATAAATACAGCTAAAGTAGCATATAAAGACTTATGATATTTGAGAGAAATAAAAAAGGGTTGTTATAATCATGATATTTATCTCCCTATCAAAATCTTCTTCCATGTATATAAGCAATTTGCAATTGTTATCGAGCAGTGAGCACAGTACAGTACAAATGATGGACAAAAGATGTGATCAAATCAAATAATTTTATTGTCACAAAACCATGAACCCAAGTGTGCACAGGTGATGAAATTCTTTTTTGCAAACTCTGCAGAATGACAGTATGGATGACAAGTATAGAATATTTACACAACACATACAGTATTAATATACACAGTATATGTTAGGGACTCAATACAAGTAGAGAACAATATATGGTACAATATTATACTATACACAGATTGAAAAATGAAAAAAATAACAAACAAAATATTCACAGTATACATATACAGTGCAGTACGGTATGAATGAGTGAAAATAGAATGTCAGGGTCCAGAATAATACTGAGTAAGAGTCCAGTCAGTTTAATTGAAAAAATTTAGAGTACTGAGTAAGAGTCTAGTCAGTTTAATTGAAAAAATGTAGAGCATATGAGGTTGGGGGGTGGGAGTTGCTGTGTGTTTTACTGGTATGAGTCCAGTCTGCTGGTGCGGGTTCTACGATAGCCTCTGCCTGATGGTAACGGTGAGAGCAGTCCATGGCTCGGGTGTCTAGATTCTCCGTGCTTTCCTCACACACACCTGTAGGAAGGGAAGTTTCCTCACACACTCCCTTGTCCTGGAGGGAGGGAAGCTCACCTTCAACAGTGTTCTGTGCAGTTCATAGAGCTTTGCAGTGATGCAGCCAGTCAGGATCCTCTCCACAGTGTAAAATTGAGGGTTGATTTGAGGGTTTTGGTGCTCACACTGAACTTCCTCAGCTGTCTGAGTAAGAAAAGACACTGATGAGCCTTCTTCAGCACAGCATCAGGGTGGATGGGTGAAGTTCTAACCAAAGAAAATATGTATTTAGGAGGTGGTAAATCAGCAAACCATATCTAATAGTATTATTTAAAATTGTTGCACTAGACCAGGGGTAGGCAAGTTCGGTCCTAGAGAGCCACTGTCCTGCAGAATTTAGTTCCAACCCTAATCAAACACACCTGAACAAGCTAATCAATGTCTTCAGGATTACTAAGGCTATAGGCAGGTGAGGTTTTTCTCAGTGTTGGAGCCAAACTCTGCAGGACAGCGGCTCTCTAGGACCGAACTTGCCTACCCCTGCACTAGACTTACCATTGATTCCATGGGCCGTAACTCTGACCTGTCAATGTAGAGCTGGAATGTATTCTTCACAGTGGATAACTGATGCAGTGCTGCACTTGGTGGCCACAGAATCGTCTCCTGTCAACAAAAACTCCATCTCTGGCCTCAGACCCATTTCTCCTTAGTCTGGACCATGTGAACTGACCAACTGCGTGAAGACGGACCTGAGCATTGAGTGTGTTCAGTGCCAGCTATCGGCTCCTCTTGATGTAGTCTTTCTGTACAAGTAGAAAATGAGAACATAATACAAGCAGTCATAACAAATTAATAATGTATTTAAAACTAGAGCAACATGCCTATTTCTTCAGCAACTGGCTTCATCGTCCTTCAAACAATCAGACAAAAAAAAAAAAAAATTAATAATAACTCCAGAAAAACTGTCAGTACTCACCACATAAAGTAATTTCCAGCTATAAACATGTATGTATGAGTATCTATGAATACATGAGAAGGCCATGTTCATTTCTCATCCCCAACAGGACTGGTTGTCCTGGTGAATACTGGTTTGCCTGGCTTGCTCTTTTTCAGCTTTAAAACAAGAAATGTCTATTGAACCCATGTTTAAATACTATTGTTGTTTAAACATATACATTAAGACAGGAACTGAGACGGGCAGAATTTTGGGTGTAAGTTTTAATAATGAGAGAAAGGTGGTACTAGAAAAAGCTGTATCTTCAATAGCAAGCTATATTAATAAATTAATTCCTTTAAACATGATTACTTGCTGCCAGTATTGTTGTAAGCAGTTTAAAGGCCTCTTCACACAAAGGATGAGCCCACACTGCAGCTATTTAACATATAACGACACAGAGGAACAATTTCGTTGGAATCACTTTCAGAAATGTTGTTTTTTTCCAGCTGATGAACTATAAAATCTTTGACAGCCAATCAGAATCTACTCGACTTTAAAAAGCTTAAGCACTTAAAATGGCAGACAACATTGCCACAGCACGCACTTTTGATAATAAACAGAACTTTATCGTCCGTTTGTTGTGGATGTTAGAATAGTTATCATTATAGTTATTGTTCTTGGTGTTATGAACGAACTTAAAGGGTTAATTCACCCAAAAATGACAATTCTGTCAGTAATTACTCACTCTCATGTTGTTCCAAGTTCCAACCCCGTAAGACTTTCGTCAATCAACCATAAGTTTATCAAGCCACGAGAATACTTTTTGTGCGCAAAAACAAGCAAAAATAATGACTTTATTCAACTCTTCATTTTCTTCTGTGTGGGCCTCTGAGTGAGCCACGTAGTGTAACAGCGCAGCGCTTCTGTGTTGTACGTCACACGCATCACACATATGACCTGCGTCGGCCAATAGCGAGCCTACGTTCTGACGTACAACACAGAAGCGCTGCGCTGTTAAGGGGGTCGCACACCAGACGAGAAGCGCAGCGCCGCGTCGCGCAGCGCCAGGTCTTTAAAATTCGAACACATTATTCTCTATGAGTGTACACACACCGGCGGCGGCATTCGGCGTCTGTCCGCGGCGCCCAGCTACGGCTCAGGACCTTGTTCAAAACCCTGCCGCGCCACAGAGCGCCATTTGCATAGTTTTATATTAAATTTACATTTATTTGTCTCAAATCGTCGTTAATGTACATGGCTTCACCCCGTGCTGTTTTCACTCGGGTTAGCTAAACGCTAGCTAAATAAATACTATTGTATTATGTGACATAGTTGCCTAGACAACGGATAACGTTACAACAAAATAACAGACTCAACGTGATAGACACTTTTACTTGATTAACGTTCAAACATCAGCTATTAT